CTTGTGGCAATTATTATGCATGATGTTGGGCATCATTTTTCATGAAAATCTCGGCATTTTTTACATATCTCGTATAACAGTTTTGATTCGGCTTTGTCCGCTAACATGATGAACGACGATGACATTCAATGACGTCTCCTCAGTTTTATTTATGTTTGTCCTTACAAATGAATTTCGTTCTTTCTTATTTCGGTTTATTTTTTTGGGTAAAAAACGACTCGAATCAATTGCGTTGTCAACGTGGCTCGATAAGGAAATATTCCTTTAAAAAAAGGTAGACAACAAAGAAAGGAACGTAACGAGACACAACAACAACAACAACAGCAACACCAAGAATAAGGAACGAGGAGCACGTTACGCTTTACGGTATTTTGCGTGCATTTGACACCCCTCCAGCAGGACCTACTCTCAGGTAGCTGCCTCGATTTCTTATCGCCTATGCATATATATACATATATATGTATATATACATATATATTTAGCTATATGCGGGGCAAAGTTTCCATTTTCCAACCCACCCCACTTCAGTTTTTCCATCGTCTCTTTTTTAAATTCAATTTTTTGCATGAAAATTTGTGTTTTTCTTTGCCCAAAATGTTTTTTTTTTTTCCTTTTTTGAGGGGTGATTTTTAGGGAACTTTTTTCTAATTGCGTTTTTTCTTCGCTTTGATTTATTTACGCAGCTCTTCAGATTTTTTTGGACAATTTTTTGCTGGCATTTTTCTTTAATTTGGTGGCTAGCGTTTTCCCACGAGTTTTAAGGTAAAAAATAAGCATAAATCTTAAATCTCTTTGCATTCTGAGGAAGAATTTTTTGATATTGGGAAATTTCTGTGGGTTGATTATTTCGCTGTCAGTTTTTGGCGGGTTTTATTTGGGATTAAAGCAAATCTTTGGGGTAGTAAATAGTAAAATTAATAAAGAAAATAGTAAATATGAAATATAAAATATAAAAGATAATTAAAATAAATGTAAAGGGTTTGAATTATGAATTATGGGAAAATTGAGATTTGAGTGTGTAAAAATGATTGTAAAGCAGTTAAGATTCCAGGGAAACCTAGATTAAAATGTTGGGTAAGGACTATAAATTGTGAAAGTGTTACTCTTTTAACTTTATTACAAATACTTTATCAAGAATTTAGTTTTAGTCTTGCTCAGCTACAGTTTTACGGCATATTTACTTCCTTATTTGCCCGAAAAACTTTCATTCATTAATTTTAGCTGATTTGTACACGATTTAAAATCACCTTTTTTGTGGTTATGGAATAGGTAGCAGTTGCTATCGCTGATAAGAAATCACTTGAGCATTCTGTGCTCATTTGCCACACACACACACACATTTATGGGGCACTAAAAAACAACAACAACAACAACAGCAGGTTGCATGTAGGAAAACCCACAAGGGGAGAGAGAGAGATACTCAAAACTGAGAACGTCTTTTATGACTTCATTAGACATTTCACTTTTACTTGTTTTTCCTTTTGACTTTCCCAACAAATTTGTTGGACATCCGAATAAATTCAACTATTTACGAATTTTCCTTTTTTACTCGGCCTTTCCACGTTTTTTTTAGTTGTAGTTTCAATTTCAGAGTTTTTTTTAATATATTTTCCGGCTGCTGGAAAAAAACTCTTCCACTTTTCTTTGTTTTATGTTCTTTATATTGACTTAAGTAATTCTCGGCAATGAGCGAGTTTTACGATTGAAGCCGATTGACGGATTGAACGATTGAAGGACGTTTCGACTAACCCATATTTTTTATGGCCAAAATGCCAACTCAACTTGGGTAAACACTCATGTACATCTCAATATATAAGTCAAATGTTAAATGGTAAATGTTGCCAAGTCAAAGAGCGTTTGCCTTGTTAGCGAGTCCTTGTGAACGTGAGAGTTCTTTCAGAACCAGAACCAGAACCCGAACCAGTAGCCAATGTCCACACGGCGGCTGCCGGGCCTAATTAACATGTTCGACCCACGCAGCATCCCATCTACAGGGTATTTGCGGCACAAAAGGTAGCTCGACTGTTTTGTTCTTATTTTTTATGATTTACGTGGAAATCGCCGCTTGATAAAAAATGCAAACAGCGAGAAAAAACAACTCAACTAATGAGTGGTGGGCAACGACTGTTAGATATCCTATACAAATTTATAATATTATTTTTTTAAGTGACTGCCAGATACTCTGTAAAAATTAAAGATTGTTTTTATTTGAAAGGAAATAAATTAGTATAAAATATGTAGACTAAGCTGAAGTGCAACTACTAAGTGTTGAGCAGCGACTGACAGATACCCTGCAAAAAATAAATATATTTCTTGTAAGGAAATTAAATCAGTATAAAACAGGGATCAAAGCGGAACTGTCGATTTGACCACCTGTTACAGAATTATTATTTAAATAAATAAATCATTTCGCTTTCTAGCATCTGTTTTGAACTGCAGAATATTTATTAGTTCTAGCAGCGAACCAAAATAACCTCATATACCCTGTATACTCTGTAAATAGTAGGTGCTTATCAGTGACGGAAGCGTTTGCGCCTTTTGGGCGTTAAATGTTGCCGCAGGACAAACGAATTTGTTCGAATTCAGTTACCTGACTGACCAACTGACTAACTGACTAAATGACTGACTGACAGACAGACAGACAGCATTGCATTTCTGACTTTTTATGACTTTGTAACAATTTTTTATGATTTCGCTTTTGAACCATAAAAAAATTGTGCATCTTTTACCTGCTGCAGTTGCAGTTGCAGTTGAAATCGTTTTTTATATGTGTGTAGTACACGATTCTGAAAGATTTTGTTTTTTGTTGTTTTTTATATTTTGGTCACCTTGAAATGTGACTTTTCGTTATAATTCGTTTGTGTTGATGTTCTGAAGTTTTCCGGGAATATATTTTCATGCATCAAATTGTGACTTTTCACAAGAGAAAAAGTAGAATTTGATTTGCCGCTTGTGTTTTTTATGATTTGTAGTTGAAAAGTCAAAAAGTTGTAGAGCAGCAGTTAAATTTGGAATTCGGAAAGCAATAAAATGTATGAAAAAAAATTAACAATCAAATTTAATTGGAACACACAAAGATAATTAATAAATTAAAGGAAGAAATGATTAATACTTAATAAAGCCTTAAATTTAAAAGAGACTGGAAATTGTAAATTTGAAGTAAAATGAAACTTTTCTGGCAACTGTTTAATATTTTAATTATTTACACATTTTATAATAATGAATTTGAACACATTGCATTTTAGAAAAGTCGTCTGTATGTGCCATAAATGTATGTTAAATATAACTAAAATAAAATCGTAAAACAAGTCAAACAAATAATAATTGACGAAGAAGAAGAAAAGCAAAGCAGAAACAGCAGCAGCAGCAGCAGAAGACGCCAAGCCAAAGTGGGTGGCAGTCACAAGGGAGGGAGTAGATGGGAGTAGGGTAGGGGGAGCATGAATGTGCATGCATATATGAATGGCAAATAAAAATGCGAGAGAGCCGAATAAAGAGCAAAAGCAAACGACAACAATAAGCAACAAAACTGCTGCTGCTGCTGCTGCTGCTAGCGTCGACGGCGGCAGCAACGCAGCTTTAAAATATTTTACATAGCCAACGCAACACACACACACAGAAAGTTTTGAGGCGTGTGCGCCAATCATAAAATAATATGCATACACACACACACGCACACACAGACGACAACGTCGACGCCAACGCCATTTGAAAGCTAAATTTAAATTTTAAGCCACACCCCAAACAAGCGCACGCATACCGCACACACACACACACACACACACATAGACAATGAAGTCGGCTGCCGAGCCGAACAAAACGAACGCTGCCTCACACACACGAGACATTGTAGTAAAATTTTAAAACGTATAAAATGTTGGAGCAGCAGCAGCAGCACACATACTAATGCAATCACACTCACTCACTCACTCACACTCTCTCGCTCAGTTTGCGCTCAAATGCAAACACATTTCTCACTCACACTCAAGCGCTCATTTCTCCAATTGTGGAACGTGTTCTTCTAACAAGCATTCAAACCCACAACGGTAAATAAAATGAGCACGAGAGAGTGAGAGAGCGAGAGCGAGTGAGAGAGCGCGCGCGTCTGTGTGTGTGTGTGAGAGAGCGACCAATGCGCGCTGCTTTTAAAGCTCATCCAGTTGGCGGCTTTTTGTGTGCCTGTGTCTGTGTGTGTGTGTGTGTTTTTTTTTTTTGTGGAGCCGCCGTTGCAGTTGGCGCGCCGACGTGAAACCAGTTAAACGCGTTGACTCTTGCGAAGCACATCGTGCACAGCTCAGCGCAGCTCGTGTGTGTTTTTTATACATATAACAAAAAAGCGAAAAAGCGCTTCTCTTTTTTAACAGACACATCACTAAAAACAACCCTTACCGCTTTGGGGTGGCTACAAAAAAATACAAAAAAAAAAACAACTTCCCCGCTATTAAGTTTTTTGGGCGCAAAAACACAAAATTTCAACTCAAAAACTCGACACACTCAAACAAAGTCAATGCCGGCATAAAGAGAGCAAGAGCGAGTGAGAGATAGAGAGAGAGCGCACTGCAAAAGAGAGCGAGTGAGAGAGAGAGAGAGAGACAGCCAAGTTGAAAGGCAGAAAAACGTCCATCAACATCATCATCATCATCATCATCAGCAGCAGCAGCAGCAGCAGCATCATTATCATCAAGAGCCCAGGCCTAGGCGATTATCCATCAGAGACGGCAACAACAACAATTGTTGAGAATTTAGTCGTCCTTTGGCATTGAAAGGCTCTTCCGTCTGTCAGTTTCATGCGAAACACGAACGCGTTTGGACGCAGGCCGGCGCAACACAGCAAATAACCACAAAATCCAATTCCAAAACAAAAATTCTAACCAAAATAGTAAATAAGAAAAAGAGAAAAACAATTTGACGTAGTTTTTGGTGTGTGTGAAGTGAATAAAAAACAAGTACTTTTCAATCGAGAGCGATAACAAAAACATATCCCATAAATAAACAATATATACATACTATATACTATATATATATACTGTACACCGATCAATTTGGTCTGCCTTGTGGTGTGTGAAAATGGTTATGTCGGAGCTACATTGGCACTCAGCTAGTCCCGAGGATAACAACAACTCCTTGAAGCATGATCTCCTGAAGGCAAACACAAACAGCGCCAGAGACGCTGCCGTTCATCTAATGCAGAATCGCTGTAAGTCACACATATATAAATATATATATTCAAAAATCAATCAATCTATATGGATGAGAAGACTTCCATCAACAAGTTTTTCAAATGGTTTAGTTATATTTGTGCAACAACTTTGAGAAATGGTTAAGAAGTATTTAGAATTATTTATGGCACATATTCAAATTGATTTGATTGATAAAAATCGAATATGAATCTTCTATATAGACGAGCAGTTTTCGGTTAACAACTTTGAGAAACTGCCTAGAAATATTTATGAAACATTTGTCACAGTTAAATTCGATTTGGATTTTGAACTTTAAATAATTTGAGAGATGTTTATGAATTATGAATTATAAGTTTGTATTTAAGTATTTATAAACATATTTTCACTGATTTTATTCATATACATCTTCTTCTATATAAATGATTTTTATCAATTGTTAAGAAATGTATGCAACATATTCACCTTGGTTTTTGAATGAGATTAGATTAATTTATTTATTTTCTCTAAAATCTTGCAAGTTACAGTTTTTAGTTATATGTCTGTCTTGATAACTGTGTATCAATTTATATAAATCAATATTTTTATGTTTCATCTGATATTTAAATTGACTATAAGTTTAAATTTATTTCTCTGTCAAAAGTATAACAAATTTAATGATTCATTCAGCTGAAGTTGGTTATTTCATCAATTCAAATATCAGAATTCAGTATCAGTAATGATTCATTCATAGTTAATATGGTTTATGCACATATTTAGCTTGATATCAATAAGAATTTCATTTATATAGATAATCACACGATTATTCACATCGGAAGCATTTGGAACTCATAAAAAATCCCCTTTAACAACTAACTTGAGGCTCAGGTGCACCCATCATAAATATTATAAGTAGCATATACATATATATATATATATATATATATATATATTTGATTCCCACCCACTTAGCAACCCACTTAATCGAGTAGTTTTTTATGGAGAACTAGTCAAGTCGCAGACCATAAACCATATTTATTAAAGACTCATTTCTTACACAACTCAAGTCAAAAAGATGACCATGTAAAAATCGGAATGCTTTATAAAAAATACGATTTTTATTTATACAATTTTATTGCAGCTGACTGCTTTATCAATGTGATTAAAAAGAAAAACGATAGAAAGAGTTTTAAAAACGGGGAAAGAGAAGAGGATGAAGTAATTGTTAGTCGATTATATATTTAAGGATGTATTTGACAGATTTTGTATGCATTCTTTATTTGTATAGGGTTTGCCAAAAATTATGAGTTGTAAAGTAAAGTTAAATTAAAGCTTAAATAACTTAACTTAAATATGTGTTCAAAATATTCGAAAGATTTCTTAATCAGATTTCATTTATATAAGCCTTACAGAACTTATGAAAAAGATATATAAGAACTTAAGTAAGGATATAATTAATTGATTTCTTATATAGACTGTTGTTATGAGTAGCAAATTAATGCTTTTAATTGGTGATGGATAAAAGAAAGGATATCTTTGATCGATTTCTGTTGTAGACATCGCTTATATAAGGCTTGCAGAACTCATAAAAATATCATTATGAGTAGTAAATTAATGCTTCTAATGAATTATAGATAAATATGTATACTCAGGTCTACGTGTCCCACCAAGCTAAAAGAGTTGATAACCCACACGAGTGTTATCGTTCGACGATTATATGTGTCCGAGACCCATGATTTCCATATACTAGCCACGATTTACGTATCGGCAAGCCAAAACTGATATTTCCAAGTGCTTATCTCGGCTGGCACACCTGCACCAAGGAAAAGCCAAGAAATTGCTCCAAATTTCTTGGTAAACAAATTTCGTCATTCATGCAGTGCGTCAACAAAATAAATACAATAAAATACGAAATATAAAAAATAACAATGTGTTCGATTCTAATAAATTAATCGATCGACAATACGTTTTAAATTAATATGCTGACGATTTTTTTTGCGTCCGATGGTTGACGACAAAAAACACAAACATCAAAAAAATAGATTATTTTTAGTCATTGTCGCAATGAGCTCATTACTCTAGTGATAATAACTAGAACAAACCGGACAATCACCTAAGAATAAAACTATAAAACAAGAACAAAAATCGAAGGCTATCTTTTTCTATATTTTTTTTTGTAGGCTTATCGGAGCAAATGTGCTACGCGTGAACTGGTCAAGAAAGAGGGCGTGTGTTACGCTCGTCTCTTATTATGGCCTGTTCCAAGAAGTGGGTAGAACTACAAACAGCAACAAGAAAACGAATTTCGTTTAATCTTTATCGCAGCGGAAATCAATTTCCGATATTGATAAAGTTAAGCTTTCGCCTTACACTTCTTTTACTACGCCTCTGCGAAATTCATTTCATGAATTAAAAATCATAGATACAAAATTTGTAAAAGTTTAACAATGAAATTGCTCATGAGATTAAAGTATCAAATCGCAGAAAACCAAGAAAGCAGGACTAGGTAAAACATCTACTATACAATGTATATACCATATATTATATATTAAAATGAATTAACAATTGTTCCATGAAAGCCCTTTGATATAGTATTCAGTTGTTGATAATCTTTTGCCTTTTTGTGGGTGGCATATTGATACACATATTTAATGAACTTGAAACTTATATTTTTTATTTTATAATATATAATATATATAATATTTATAAAGCTTGGTATACAGAAAAGCTGAAATTGCTTTAGTCACATAAAATCAGTGTAACTTTCCCATTAGTTTGTTTATAATTAAAGAATTGAAAGTATTAGAAAACTGTTGAAATTCATGAATTTTCTAACATAAAACTAGTACATCAAGCCCAAAGATTAAAATGAATATTTGTACTTTAGATAGGCGCAACGATAAATTATATTTAATGAAACGCTATTTATATTTTGCTGAATTTTCTTAACAAGATTTGTTGTCAGTTTTCATATATTTATATATATATAATATATATTTTTGTACATTTTATATATGTTGTATATCAATTTTAATTGTTGATTCATATGCCTATATACATTTTATATACTTGTATATTTTGTATAGTTGAATTTGAATTGTCGGCTCATGAATACTAAAAGATAAACATGGTCCAAAGCGCTCTCTTTCTATCTGTTCCGCTCTCTCGCTCTTGTTTTGCTTTGTTTTGCTACGAATGTTTGTGCAAAAGGCGAGCCAACAAACAAGCCGTCAACACGCACAACACAGCGCACAGCGCTTTTGGCCACAATGCGCGGGGTCAAGAGTTCAAGACACGCAGCTTCCGACCAAGACGACGACGGCGACGACGACGACGGCGATGGCAACGACTCAATCGATAGTCAGTCTGCGCACGTGATGTGTGTGCCACACACACAAACACACACATAAATATATAACACCCCCTCACACACACACACACACACAGACACACACACACACACAGCTGTCGAGGTCATTGACTAATTGTGCAAATGTATCTGCTCACAGGACTCGGCACAGGACTCAGCACAGCACTCGCAGTTTCCCAGTTATCAGCTCTTATTACACTTCTCTCTCTCCACTCTTCTCCACTCTTCTCCTTTCTTCTCTCTGCCCCGCTGTGTCTGCTTCACGTTTGCGGTGTTTGCATTTTCCACATTCGCAATTGAAAAACTGTTGTAGAAATTCGAAAAATTTGAAATTTTTCATTGCGCATTTGCAGTTTTTGACCCGCTGCGCGTGGCACGCGTCCATCCCGCAACCCGCACACCCCCTGCTCCTTACCCCTCGTTGTAATAAATTGCAGGCGGGGGTGGCTCGCTTCAGAAATGTTACCATAATTTATGTGGCATTTTAACGCGCAGTTTTTGGAAAATTAGTTTGAAGGCGTCGGCGTGGCCTTAAGTGCCGCTGCTGCTGCTGCTGCTGCTGCCCAGCGCCTTGATTGGGTTACGAGCTAAAATACTGCACTCGGAAAAAAATCACATTGAAAAAATTAGAAAGTTTTTCTTCTGCTTAGAAATAATTTCTAAATATAAGAAAATTAATATCTATAAATTGGAATAGCTTACAAATATTTTCTATTATTCATAATTTATTTATTTCTATTCTATTATATATTCTTTCTGTAAAGTGGAAATGCAAAGCTTAATTTTTAGCAAAAATCTTTTCAAGCATTCAGAAACAAGAAATTAAATTTACTGTCTCGGCTTTTATATTAATTATAATATTATAATAAAATTGCAATCCTTATTAGAAATATAAAAAAGTTAAAGTTAGAGTTTCTTGTACACATTTGATAACTTTGATTTTTTCGAATTATACTTTCTAAATAATATGCTGAGTTATCCTAGGCGACAAAATGGAGGTTGATTATTTTTTCAGTGTGTATACAGGGTAGGGGGAAGGGCTAGGGTGAGTGGTAGGGGAAGGGTATATAGGTATAGGTTATTTCACGGCACATATGCCATGCAACATTGTTTCGGGGTCGGCGTAGATCTGAGATCTTCTTTGGTTGCCACTTGAGTTGCCTTCTTGTGTTGCCTGCTGCTGGAAGTGTGGCAGCAGCAACAACAACAACAACAGTTGTCGCTTAATTAGCTGACTCAAAAAGGCGAGAGAAAAGCGTGCCAGAAGTGCACTAGTGTGTGTTTGTGTGTGTCTCAGACAACTGCTGAAAATTCGGAAAATGTACGAGTGGTTTGGAAACATTTGCTTCTAGAAACGAAAGTTAAAACTTCAGATTTAAACCATGACATCATTTGTATATATTTATATAATAGTCTGGGCCGCATTAATCTAATATTGATAAGCTTAAAACACCTATGGCTACGGGCATTCCCCGATCCATTCAGCATACTCAATTTATGATCACGCTTTTTTTGAAAATGATTAACGAACTTTAACTTTTTAAAGGCACTCGATAACCACTTTGATTAGTGGACAAAATCACGTGAGCATAAATAAAGCAACTATTATTATTTGATTATTAGCTGAGATCTTAAGTATTGTATTGAACACTTGAAACTTTGCTTTTACTAAAAAATACTCTATCATCATTTATTTATTTTTAATTAATTCTGAAATTTCCAAAGATATATTTTCATATGTTGGTCAAACTCTGCTTATACAAAAGATATGCAATTATAAAAGTTCGCTTGAAGTTTCTAAGTATCTCAAGTCGTATTCCTAGTTTCTAAACAACATTAAATATTGTTATACCAGACAAACCCTTTGCTTAAGGACATTTCGAAGCAATTCGCTGCGTCATTCGATTAGTATGAAAATGTGGCACTAAAATGTAACTGCAACCAGCAAGTTGCAATTGCATTTTGCATGCAAGCAGATATATATTTTATTATTTTGCTTCATTTGGCTCTAAGCGTCTGCCACAAGACTCATAAATTAGCCGAAATAGACGTTGCGATGTTGCAAGGACCGCGCCCAAATTCGCAACGAGTTTTGGATGTGGCCATAAAATGCAGTCAACAAATGTTGCCGAACCAAATGTACACAAAAATTTCAAATTCAAATTGAGTGGAGCACTGCAAAGATGGGGCAAGGCAGCAGGCAGCAAGGGAGCGGGGAGAGGGGGGAGTCTGGAGTTGGTTGTGGCATTAACCGAGTACCAGGTGTTCCCCGGGACGACTGCCATAAAAATATCCTTTTATGCAGCAGCGTGTCCTGTCTGCGGCCATTTGGTCAGTTTTTAGCTAGCCAAATGTATCCCATATCGATTTCGGTGTGCACCCTGTATTCCCCTTGCCCCTGCCACGCCCACTTATCGTTAAGTTGCCAAAGAGTTCAGTTTATTTTTGAAAATTGCTCAGTTTATGCCGACGACGTGATGTCGCCTCAATTCCAAGTTGAAGTTGAAGCTGAAGTTGAGCTGCTCTTTACTAGCTTTAAGTGCATTTGCCATTCAGCTAAATAAATTAAGAAGAAACCTTAAATTGAGAATTGCTCAACTTTCAACTAACTGTGTCCTTCGTACTTTACTCTCTTGCAGATATCAGCCGACTGTCACGCTCGCCATCGCCGCTGCAATCGAACGGTAAGTGTTTGTTTTAAATATATCCTTCAAATATATCTTAATTATGTCTTAAAAAATAATTCAACAACTAAGTTGAATTGAGTTGAATTGAGTAAAAATAGAAATGGAAAAAACTAGAATCAAAATAAGTTTTATAAATTGAAATGAATTCAGTCAAGAGAGAGCTCAACTGGCAGTAATACTGAAACCAGGTTTTAAATACATATTTCACTTGTTCTGAGTCCTTACAGAATGATAACTATTGAATAAATATCAAACTCTTTGGCAAAAGTAGTGCTTATAAAAAGATCTAAACAGAAATGCATTATTAATTAGGAGGTGTTAAAACTTGATTACCAAATTAGAATGCTTTCGTAGAGAGAGATCGCCTGAAGTCTGTTTTCAAAGAAATGGTGGCCTAGTTAATAGTAATCAGACTAAATCCAATAAAAATCGCTTCTTATCGATATGTGCGGTGACAGTTATCGATAAGATTAAGTCTACTTATTGTTTATATTTCAAATTTAAAGTCTCTGGCTTTTAGGGATCTCTGAGATCGCCTGTTTCATACAGACAGACTTGGCTTTTGATGTTGATCAAGAATATATATATCTTATCTGCCTGTTAAATACTTTTGCACAGATTTCCTATATAATTTTTCCCATTTTTAATAATTTCAACTTATTTATAGAATATTTAAATACATAAAAGCTACACTAAGGAAAAAAGAAACAAACTAAATTAATAAAAGAACTCATCTTCTGTGATTTCAGTTTGCACTTTTTTCTAAGTGTTGCATTTATGTATTAAAATAAGACACCCAACATTTTTTGCTGTGTAGCCCAAAACTCTGCAGCCCACTTAAGCATCAGCTGTTTGTCCGAGTGCAAATGAAAAGTGCAAAGTGAGAGTATTTGTTATTTACGATTTGTCCACTTTGAAAACATATTTTTGAAACCAGGAAACATCTGCCAGCTGTGAATGTGTGTGTGTGTGTGTGTGTGAGGGGCATCAGTTTCATTGAGGCTGTTGGCTGACAATGGTTGGCAACCCTTGCTTGCCACACTCGCTGGCCACGCGCTAGGCCCGAGGTTTAGATTTATAGGGTTATAGGGATTGTTTTTGTTTTGTTATAAATGATATACAGCTATAGTTTGGGGGTAGTTTTTAGTGTTGCTGAGTTTCAGGGTACGGCTCCTACACAAAACAAACAAACGACTGTCAACCCGGCTGTCGTCGTCGTAGGAACCCAACCCCTCCTACTGGTATCTGATCTGTGTGTCTTTAAGTTGATTTTGATGTCTTATTAAATGTGACTTTTGAACAGCTTCTTAAGTAGTGCATTAGTTGACAATTAGGTGTCGTGTCATTTCGGGGCGTTGCCAATTGCTGTCTAGGGTTGCCAACTTAATTGCTGGGGGCCGACACTAATTGCTACTCTCTGAATTGCTGCCTGTAATCAAGTGAATGCCATTTGACTTTGAACTATTTGAAATCTATATGTATATGTCTATATAAAGCTAGAGATTTGCTATGTATATTATTTAAAAATATTGTATAGTATTCATGGGGTGCACTCATTATTATTCATAACTTGTTTGTCGTTGTGTCTGAACTGCGTAAAATTTGCAATTCACACTTTACAAATTTCATCATCAAAAAAAAAGAGGTCTTGCCCATCATCATCATCATATTATACATGTGTGTGTGTGTGTGTATACATATGTGTATTTAGCACGCCCACGTTTCGAACTTCGTTAGTCACGGCTTGGTCGAGGGTCCTTCGTCCTGTCGTCCTGTCCGAGGTCCCCTTTTGCTGAACGTAACCTTTTTTTTGTTGCTTCTGCTCTTATATTATTGACAGCATTTCGCTTGATTTGAATTTTTATATGTGTGCGTTGTGTGTGTGTGTGTGTGGTTGTGTGTGGTGGCTGTGTGTGGACCCAGTTGCTGTGATTTCTTTGCTCTCCCTTTTTGCTACCGAATGAACACATATTTACATATATTTTATGCAAAAATTATTCCGTTATGCACGAGTGTGGGAGCTGTGTTGTGTGGCAAGTCAAACTGACCATTTGGCTCTTTTTATTGGTTGCCTAACAGCGCCAGAGGCGTCCCATGAAAAGGGGCTCTCGAACTAACCAAAAGTGAAAGGGATTCAGGCGAGTTGTGCTTCAAATCTGACTGTTGTTTGCCTAAAATATGTGATATGAACATGCAAAGCTATCTAAACAAAATTTACCAAAGGTATATCAATTTTTCTATTAAGTATTTAATAGTTAATTAGTAGTAGCTGAGTAATTATTTAACTTATTTTAATTATTATTCGAAATGCTCTCAACTTATAGTCTAAAAGCTAACTTATAGTCTTCAAGCTATCTTATAGTTACTAAGTACTTTTCTCGATTTAAATAAATAGACTGTAACACATTAGTTTATCTAAAACCCCTATTAAAGCTAGATTGTTCAGTTTATAACTGCAACTGTGTTTAACAATAATAAAATAAGTCAACAAACTAGCTTAACTTGCCTCCTAAAACAAATAGACTCACACAATTTGCGTCACAGCAGTGCAAACTTTCTGAATACACAATTTTGAATCATTTGCTACTATCTAAGATTATAGAATTGTCATTTATCTCTATCTCAATAGTCATTGTCATTATTCATAGTTTTGCACTGGGTTTTTTTTATAAGGAAACTGTTATTTAAGTTTCGAATCTGAAATTGTTTTTCATGTTCACATTTTGGAAAAACTTTAGGTAATTTTCCTGAAACATTTAACAATCATTTTCAACCATTAAGTAGTATCCATAGTGCTCTCTAATCCCAAGTAACTCAGCTGCTGGCTAAGCTAGCCCTCTGCAATTTTCGCCAAACACTGTAGCAACTATTTGAGAACCCCTTTGAGTTGACTACGCCACTGTTATTGGCTTCCTCTCACAAAACATACAAATCGAATTTGCACATCATCTGAATACCAAATGGACGCACGTAGCAAACAAAAATGTAGTCTGCAGAGGACGATTGCTGAGCTGTTGTGGGCACATCATGTGGGGCATGTGGGGCGCGGGCAGGCAGCACCCACTTGGACGAATAAGTCATCAAATTCACGTAGCATCAACCACCATGCGAAACGAAAACCAAATCGAGAGCCACAAGTCATAAAGTAGCCACAGCCACAGCCACAAGCCGTCGAAACATATGCAAAAATTCACGGACTCAGCTGACTGACCAGTTCAGGCTCAGGCTGTGACCATGGGAAATTGTTCGGGAAATGGAAATGAAAATGCCACAATTGAGATTTCAATGCAGCAGGCAAAAATAACATCAAAGGGGCTGCCTTTGTTGAAAAGGGTTATTCCAACTTTTGATTGCCACAACACAAAATAAAAGGTTGGACCAACAAAAAAGTTTTTTTTTTTGACTAAAAATGAACTGACGCATTTAAATATTATTGCAAATCAATTGGTAGACTTATAGCCCCACCCTTGCTTTCTATTTTTTTTTTTTTTTTGTGTAAATAAAATGCATAGAAATAGCAAATTTATACAAATCGCTTGGACGCAGCAGCATTTGAAATGCTAAAATGGCACTTAAAAGCAGCCAAAATGAAAAGAAAACACGAGAATTCCATTTGATGTATCGAAACGAAAGGTAAACTAACTATGTAAACTATGTAAGCAGAGGGAGGAGGTGAGGGGGAAACACTTTTCGCATAATAGAAGCTAAGCGAGTGGCTCTCTCTCTCTCTCTCTCTCTGTCTCTCCTTGGGTGGTTTTGGGTGGCTATTGCTGTTAGAAAGCCTTTCACCCACACACACAAAAACTCAACCGACTATGAAATTGTATCGAAAATTATGCAAACGCATTCCGGTCTATGCTAAAGTTATGCAAAGGACATCGTAAGGAGGATGGGTAGAGGGGAAGCGGATATAAAGTGCTTGGTTAATTTAGTAAAGACTGTTAGATGATGGGCTCGTTGCTGTGTTTGGTCTTTAATCGATTCTTAAATAGTTTGGAAAGATGCTTGTCTATGTGGGCAATTGTATTTGGACTCAAAGCGACTCAGTATTCATCTTTTAATATCTATTTTTATATATCTATTGCGTAATATTAATATAATCAATTCAAAGATTATTTCCAATATCCTCGAAGTATTCTTATTCTGCTTATTTTTCACACAGTTCTATCAGCAATTAACAAAATATTCTGCATTATCTCCCCAAATTGGTGAGTCCTAAAAAATGTTTTGATAAGCTCCCAGAACTGTTTAGATTATGCGATTAAATGTGCAATATTTATAAAAGATATTGTGCACTATCTCCCGAAACTTGTTAGTCTTTCACAGTCAATTGTTGTGATTTAATTTGCAATATTTAGAAAGAGACATTTTAATTATCTCTTCAAATTGGTTGATTTTGAAAAATGTTTTGATAAGGTCTTACAATTGCTTAGATTTTGCGCTGTTAATTAAACAAGTTTTAGTTGATTAAAGATATAATAATTTTAATAATAATTTAGAAAAGCGTTTGGATAAGGTTTAACTTTTGCTTTAAATAGTACTATATAAATATTGAAATAACCCAAGTTTTTGTGGACAAGTTCTGGTTGACAAACTTTATCGCAGTCCCCCAAAACAATATTTATAAATCTCTCGCTTCTCAATTGCAACAATATCTTCAAATTGTTATCTCTTCTTCTCACTCGCAGCTTCTGATTGTGATGATAATAACTCGAGTGTTGGCACTTCCAGCGATCGGTGTCGTTCCCCTTTGAGTCCGGCGCTGTTGCTGACACAGCAGCCGCAGGCGAAGCGACGCCTGTTGTCCCGCCAACAGCCCCACCCGGCGCACCACCATCTCCACCACAACCACCACCTCAACCACAACCACCATCATCAGGTGTACAAGCTGGAGCAACCGGATGAGGATTACGATGATGCCAATGGCGGTGCACTGAACTTGACCAGCGACAATTCGCGTCACAGCACTCAATCGCCGGCGAACTCGGTGAAATCCACGGCGACGACACCACCCACTGTGGGTCAGTTGGCACCTGCACCCATTGTGGTTGCGGCGCCACAGATCTCACCGGTACTGGCGCCCAACGTGGGCACACCCCCTTCGATGGCCGCCGTGCAGGCAGCGGCAGCAGCTGCGGCTGCTGTTGCAGCCACCACAGTGGCAAGTGGCATGCAACCTTTGCTGGCGCTGCCCGGCCTATCCTCACCGCAGGCACAATTTGCTGCCGCCGGCTTGGGTCTGGGCAATCCACTGCTGTCGGGCTCCATATCGCCTCAGGACTTTGCCCAGTGGTTGCAGCAACGTCAGGTGGCACTGCCCCAGCAATTCAACAGCTATATAGAGCTGCTGAGAAATGGTTCGTTGGGTCTCTCCCCAGATGACCCGGCGCTGGCAACTCAAGTGGCTGCCGCTCAGTTCTTCATGCAGAGCCAACTGCTCTCGCAGGCATCCCAGCAATTTCAGGCGCTGCACAAGCAGCATCAGCGACAGGAGCAGTTGCAAGAATCGCTATCGCTTTCGTTGTGCAAATCACCAATGCAACAATTGCAACCACGCAGCTCGACACCTCACTCGAGAAGTCCACCCACTCCGCTGCGTAGTCCAGCCAGCAGTCCACATCAACATCAGCATCATCAGCACCATCATCACTTGCATCATCCGTTGCAAATAACGCCGCCAAATTCGGCAGCCAGTTTGAAACTGAGCGGCATGTTAACACCCAGTACGCCCACCAGCCATGCCCACAATCAGAGCTCTGTTCCCTGCACGCCACAGCCCAAGACGGTGGCAAGTGCGGCAGCAGCACGTGCCGCTGGCGAACCCTCACCCGAGGAGACCACCGATCTGGAGGAGCTGGAACAATTCGCCAAGACCTTCAAGCAGCGTAGAATCAAACTGGGTTTCACCCAAGGCGATGTGGGTTCAGCTATGGGTAAATTGTACGGCAATGATTTCTCCCAGACGACCATTTCTCGGTTTGAGGCACTCAATTTGAGTTTTAAGAACATGTGCAAGCTGAAGCCACTGCTGCAAAAGTGGCTGGATGATGCTGATCGCACCATTCAGGCGACGGGTGGCGTCTTTGATCCGGCTGCGCTGCAGGCCACGGTTAGCACTCCGGAAATAATTGGCAGGCGGCGCAAGAAGCGCACCTCCATCGAGACAACGATAAGGGGTGCGCTGGAGAAGGCGTTTATGGCCAATCAGAAGCCCACCTCGGAGGAGATCACACAGCTGGCCGATCGCCTCGGCATGGAGAAGGAGGTGGTTCGTGTCTGGTTCTGCAATCGCCGGCAGAAGGAGAAACGCATCAATCCCTCGCTCGACAGTCCAACGGGCGCCGACGATGAGGAGTCCTCCTACATGATGCACTAGAAACTAGACAAACCAGCAACCAGCAGCAGCAGCAGCCCAAGTCGCTACTCGAAGATTGGCTGGGAACACAACATATGCCGTGCAATGTGCGCAAAGCAGCAGGCTTAACTAACTAAAAGCAGGTGTGTAAAATCAAAGAATAGATAAATAAGTAAAAACACAAATATATGGTATTATTTTAAAAAAAATAAACACAAATAATATTTTATGAAATGAACTAATTGAAAGCAATAGTTTAAAATCAATAATTCAACTATTTGATTCCACTTTTAGTTTTATCTAAAAGAATTATATGTTTTTTAATCTAAAGTACTTTGAGTACAGAAATTTCTAGATAATTCTCAAAATATTTTAGCGACTTTTTATCTGTTACTTATATTTCTAATTAATAAACTATTCCAAAACTGAAAGCTGAAATTCTCAGATATATTTTACTAACTTTCTTAGTGTTTGTTTACTCTTTTTCGTTTCAGGTTCAAAAGTCGCAAAACACATCAAATATTAGCATAATTCTTCACTATGATTCGTTGTCAACTACCAACCACACACACACGCACACACACGTACACACACACACATACACACACCTGTGTGTGTGTAATCAATGTGGCTCTGTGGTTTGTTTATGTTAACTATTGATGGTATTTATTGTAACCAATTACAATGAGAAGTAAGCATAAGTAAAAAAAAGAACTAAATCAAAATGTGCTGCTCAAGTGAACCACTGCGAACTAGTTCCTCAGTTCACTTGAACACCAGCATTTGAAGTCTAAAAATTCAATCAACTGCCAAGAGAAACGGCACACGAATTGAATTTTGTATTTAAATGTCCTGTTCTGGATGGCGTATGATTAATATTTAAGTACATTTAATCCTAAGGCATCTTTCTGTGTGTGTATATGAAGAAATCAAGGTGTGTGGCTAATGCACCGTTTCTTTCAAGTCAGTAAACAACAGTTTCTAGCGAATCGTTTCACTAATAAAAACCAATAACATTAAAAAAATACAGGAGAAATGAAATATTTTCAGTTTTCATAGCAACACACTTTTAAGCATATTTATTTTTTCGTGAATACTGTGATAATCAATTGAATGATTTTTAATTTAAAATACATTAAAAGAAAAACATAATTAATAATAAATACTTAGCAGAGTACTTTGTATGTTATGTGCAAGCAAACTAACAATTAAAAATAATAAAAACATTTCTAATTTAAATTTTAACAAAACCATATTAAAAATAAAAAACTTTATGAAACCCAATTTGAATTATCAGAAACACACATTTGTAATTGTAAATTATAAAAGAAAAAAGCAAACAAAAAAAAAAAACAAAAAACAAATACTAATAGAATTTTAAAATGTATGAAAACAAAAATAAAATATATACAAAAAATTAATAAAAATAAAATAAATATCAGACAAATTGAAAACAAGTTTTCTTTAATGCTGATGGGCGGTAGCCACAAAATGTTAATGGGAACATAATTATTTCTAAAGAATAAAGAAGAAAATATATATGTGAAATATATTCTTGCATATTTTATACTCCAAATAAATGGGGAATGATGGTAATCCGATTCTTTTGCAATCGTCAAAACTCTGCATTGAATAATTGCTAAGCGCTGAGTTAAAGTTATGGAATTCAGCTTTTGCGCCTCTTTGCAATCCATTCACAAACATTACACAACACACAGACACAGACATACAACACAACACTGACAGCTCAATGATAAGAATCACGAAAAAGAAATGATGAAAAATAACTAGAGCTCAGTAATGGTATAGGGGCTACTATAAGCATTACATAAAACAGTGGCATGAACAGCGGCAGCTATGAAAGAGAATCGCGCTCGACTTGAGTAAAACGCAAAATAAAATTTTAATAAATAACAACATGCAAAACTGAAATTAATTCATGGAATTTTTGCCTACTGATTGCCCAGTCAGTCAGACAGTCACTCAGTTAGTCAGTCAGTCAGTCAGCCAGTTTCTGTTTCTGTTTCGGCTTCAGTTGCCAGAGCTAATAAGAAACAGACACCCGGCTGGCAAAGTAGGGGACAATTGAGGCAACTGAAGCCGAAGATGATGGAGATACGAGCATGCAGATGAGCTCTGAGCATGACACGAAACATGCACAGGCCATGGGTGGGTACACAGCGACAAATAAAGCACCTCAAACCGGGCAAGAAAGAAGACAAAGGCATACAACTTATCACAACTTGAGTGCTTTTATTCCAGACTAAAACGAAACTGAATCAGCTAACTTATCATTTGAGATCGAGGATCTCAAGATTTGCAGAAAAAAAATGGCCTCAGAAAAAAAGGAAGTCGAAAAGAGGCAAACTCCTTGTGAAAAGATAAATTCTTAGATAAAGTCTATTTATTCTTGAAAGAAACATCTTGAAACAGTTTTCTTCTCATTTCAAAACACATACAGTGAAGTCCGTATATTCTAGAAAGGAAAATCTTGAAATTGCTTACTTCTTATTCGAGTTAGCAGATCTTAAAGTGTATGAAGAAAAATCTAAAATTAAGAGCAAAGGAAGAATGAGGCAAAAATTGTGTTTTTCTTATATTGAATCTGTTTATTCAAGATGAAACTAACTTGCAGTAGAGCCCTTCTCATTTCAGATTGTAGATCTCAATTCTATTTTTTTATTCTAGAATATAAATGATACGCAAATTTGTACCTTTTAAAATGTAAATTTTTTGGCTCAGTGTATCAAAGGGGAGTGATAAGTAGGAAGGGGCGGGAGAATGAGCCACACTTGTGGCTATCAATGAAATGCCGACAACGCAAAGTCGCACTTGCCAAATGAATTCACTGCGATTTGGACTCTTTCATGTATCTGACTATACGAGGTGTGTTCAAAAAGTATCGCGAATTTTGTGTTTTTTCAGATATTATTTATTTATTCATAAATTTCTATTTTGTCCCCTTCAAAGTAATCCCCAAGAGATATTATACACTTGTGCCAACGGTTTTTCCAATCTTCGAAGCACTTCAAAAAATCATTTTTTTTTATCTTGTTCAGCTCCTCCTTCGATCCCGTCTTTATCTCGTCAAGCGTAGCGTAACGTCGTCCTTTCATGGGCCTCTTCAGTTTAGGGAACAAGAAAAAGTCACAGGGGGCCAGATCTGGGGAATACGGTGGCTGCGGCATCATTAGTGTGTTGTTTTTGGCCAAAAAGTCGCGCACAAGCAACGATGTGTGAGCAGGGGCGTTATCGTGGTGCAAAAGCCAATTTTTGTTCTTCCACAAATCCGGGCGTTTCTGGCGGATTGCTTCGCGCAAATTGCGCATAACTTGCAGGTAATATTCCTTATTGAGCGTTCTACCCTGTGGCAAGAACTCATGATGCACCATGCCCCTGCAATCGAAGAAAACTGTCAGCAAAACTTTCACATTCGACCGAACTTGGTGCGCTTTTTTCGGTCTTGGTTCGTGCGGCAGCTTCCATTGAGATGATTGAGCTTTGGTTTCCACGTCGTAACCATAAACCCACGATTCGTCACCAGTTATGACCCTCTGGAGCAAATTTGGGTCGTCGCGGACAGAGTCCAACATCTCATTAGCAATGTTCATGCGATGCTGTTTTTGGTCGCAATTGAGCAATTTTGGTACGAATTTCGCGGCGACCCGTCTCATGCTCAAATCATTGATAAAAATCGAATGGCATGAGCCAATCGATATGTCTAGCTCCTCAGCAACTTCTCTAACGGTGATTCGACGATTGGCCAATACCATTTTCTCCACTCCATTAATTCTTTCGTCTGTTGTTGAAGTGCTCGGGCGTCCGGCACGCTCTTCGTCGTTCACATCTTCTCGGCCTTCTGAGAACATTTTGTACCACCGATAAACGTTGCTTCGGTCCAAGGTAGATTCTCCGTATGCCACAATCAACATTCGGAATGCATCCGCGCACTTAATTTCGTTTTTCACACAAAATTTGATACAGGTTCTTTGATCCATTTTTTTGAATATGTAAAAATCGAAGACGATCCAAAACACGTGCAAGCAAAGCAGCTGTCAACAATTAAGTGAACATTTAAAATGGCCGAGCTTGTCGGCATAAGTGAGAGACATGAGTCCCAACATAACGCTACAAAAAAATCGAAATTCGAATATACGTAACCCTCGAAAATTCAAAATTCGCGATACTTTTTGAACACACCTCGTATATCTCTGACTGAGGAGGCAGCTGAGAATGGAACTGTTGTATTTACAAAGGGGAGGGGGAATTGTTCCTCCTCCCTCGTCGTTATTGTCGCTTGAGCTTTGAGCAATTAAGAGGTTGCCAGCTGTACCCCGTACGCAAATGATGTTAAAGCTGATGCAGCTTGATGATTCCCCTTAGACCACCCCCATCCCCCCTCCGCTCCCTCCTCATCTATCTGCTTTTGTTTGCATGAAAAGTGCATAATCATCGCGTGTCATGTGGAAATTTATACTATTTATGGTCGGTTTACTTAAAGGGGGTGTGGCGGCTGGGGGAAGGGGGAAGGGCACTTAAGCAGCTCTTAAACTGTGTGCCGCATTTTGGCGTTTGCAGCCGATGCTAATAAATTCATGGAAAATTGGCGGTAATTACGACAATAACGACGACGATTTCACATGAAATTCGCTGTTTGTTTACATTTTATGTGTGCGAATTTTGGCGAATTTGCATTTAAGAATGCGTTCCATGTTCCATGTGGCAAAACAGCCTGCAGCCATTTACATTGTAGCGCTTGGGGCATAAATCGTTTCGCCTTTCACATGACGGCCAACAATTGGCAAATTCCCAGACTGTGTAACTTTCTAGGCTTAAAGACTCTTTCTCTGTCTCCCTGCCTCCCTGTCTGTCTCCCTGTCTGTCTGTCTGTCTGTCTGTCTGTCTGTCCACCTGTCAGTCTGCTTGATAGAACTGTGAATATTCATTGAGTTATCAAAGCAGCCCATCTAATTACCCACAGCAGCTGAAGACGAGACGCGAGAATTATAGCTTTAAGGTGACGTGGGTCGTGGGCCAATTTTTGCTTCTCTTATATATACCCTGACGCAGGGTTTAATCAATGTCGAGTGAAATTTGTTAAAGAAAAGAGTTATTTATCGTTTGAGGAGTAAGATCACTGAAGTTGGGCTTTCTTTAAGCTCAGAAATGTATATATATTATAGCTACCAAAGTGTCTTGAGTGAATAGTGTTGCAGGACATACTCTAAAACTAAAAAGTTATGTGAAGTATGTAAAATAAATCACAAAAAATATTATATGTTTCTTATGTATATATACCATATAATGATGAGTGAAATGTACTCAAATCAAAAAGATATTGGTTTTTATTGAGCGAAATTAACAGTCATTTAAGTCCTCATTTAACTTTAGCTATGCGAACTCAGTCACTTCTTGGGATATCCAATTGTTGCTTGCTATGAGGTTTTTTTCCAGCTCAGAATCGATTTACTATATTTATGGTTATATAATTCAAAAATTCATTAACTTTATTAAGTGTTTGGCTTCACTATTTCTCTAGAGTATCAGATCTTCGACTAGGTCATTTTGTGGCCAATCAAATTTAAATCTTTGCTCAACAAGTGCTTAATACCCATCCGGCTTTTTACTACCCCACCGACCCATCCGGCCACCTACAAACTGTGAGGCGGCATCAAAGCCATCAAAACTAACAACTACAGCGCATAAATTTGATTTCAACTGGATTTTCCATTTCGCATTTCGCATTTGGCATCTTGCATTTAACATTTCCCATTTGGAGGCAACTTTCTAGTCGCGTTTTCTAGCCACAAATTTGCAATGCAATTGCATTTAAAGTTAGGATTGTTTAATTTATCTGTTCAGTTCAGTTCAGTTCAGTTCAGCACACAGTTGGCATCTCAACTGTGGTGTGGACATGAATATGCAACATGCATTTTATTTACTTGCATATTTATCATTTCATTTCATGGACTGCATTTTTCACTAAATCTCAATCTGAATCTGAATGGACTCGCAACTGGTTTCCGAGCAACGGGGCAGAGGGTGCAAGTAGCAGCATTAAGTGGATATAATACAAAAATTGTATGATCATAGTTAGCTGTATAGTTGAGCAAAATTTAGTCAGTTATTTGAACAAGCTACTGTTTCTATTTATTAATGCTGCGCCTGTCTTCAAGCAGGTATGTGAAAACGAACATCTTTTATCAAGTACAAGGAGTACTTGAGCATTAAAAATCAATTAGCTGATCTTCAATTCACTGATGTGCCCTGTAAGACAAGAAAGAAAAGTCCGTTTTTAAATGTTGAATACTTGCAACAGATGAAAGAGCAGATCCCAGAAACTAAGGATACAAGTTTGAAATGAAAGTAGATCAAGTTTATTTCATTTTATCAGTAAGAACAAATCGATTACAGAGTCACAATATTCATTAGCTTTATTATAGATTG